GGGTGTTCAGGCGCCAACCGCGTCATTCATTAGCCCTTATGCGAATGGGAAACCTACCTCGCCTTCTCGGCGCCCTCGACTTGATCTGCATTTACATTCGGTCTGAATGCAGGAATCAGAGGTGGGGACTTCCGTTGACCATCAATTGTACCCAGGACCAGACATTACAACACTGGTCTAAAACAAATGGGTAACAGGGGAAACAAGACCTGAAACACCCACGCGCCGATAGAGTTTTTTTGGTAATTTCATATTGCCCACATCAATTTGTGGATGCGGTAAAAGGAACTTCGAAGAACAATGCTACAGGTTGATTTACGACGGTGTCGCTTCATTTGTTAAAAGTTTGTTGGAGGAGCAGGGGAGTGTAGTGGAAGCCGAACGCAAATGTCATTGTTTTCCCTTCTCTTGCAAACAAACCAGAGGTTCTCCTACTCTAAGCATAACGCACTTCATTCATACCACAGAAGTTTGTGGAAAGCGCAGGAAGCCAGGAATGACTTCGTAACAAAGCAGAGATCGCATTACCACGGCCGCCAGTGTAACTCCCAGAGGGTCTCCCATTCGGTTGTAAAAGGGGAGAGTCTTGAGCGAATGCTTTAACTCAGACAAAGTAGGCGGAACTGGAGTTCGTTCACACGGCAAATCAGAAGATGGCCACCAAAGTCGCCTTCCTTCATACACTCACTCGAAAAACAAAGTATTACAACGCTAACATATTCATTTTAACTTTAAAATAAAAACCACAACATTTGACATTTGTTTAAATCGCACTGTCGTGCAAAAGCACGTGTTGCCTTTGAGGTATTTTCCACATGAATTAATTTTTTTTATTCATAAAGTAGTGTTGGTGAGCAAAGATTGGGGCGTTGCTGGTCAGCAATGCTTATTGCTGACCTGCTTTTCCGCTCAAAAGTTGCTTGCAATCCTCTCCTATGCCCCAGTCTCCCTTTCTCTTTGAGAAGTTTACACCAACACCTCGGAAGGATGGGCACTGCACCGTGGGATGACCAATTTGGGTTCTTTTACATTTTTTTTGCTTTCGAATTAACTCTTTAGTCTCTCCGTTATTGCTTGTCTGAGGCCGTCCTGAATGCGTCCTCAGAAGGCTGCTTTCTTATGCAGCCTTTATTGGGCATCGTGTACAGTTTCTGGTGGGTGGTAAAGGGGAAGAAAGGGAAGGCGGTGTTAACCATGGTATGGAAGTTGGGTCAACTGCTCCTTGAACATGGCTCCTTTTAAAACAACCCTTTTTTAGGAGGCAGTAGTGACTATTCAGTGCTTTATCCGTTTGATTACCTCTATGATAAGCGGTCACTAAGGCGGTTATCTTGTTTTTGTCGCGAAAGTTAGCCTTCGGATCAGGCCGTAGTCTCGCTTTTATCCTTCCTCTGCCAATAGAAGCATTTAGCCATCCCTCATGCCTTCTTCTGCTCAGTGGAAAGTTTCGACACTTTACGCTACTAGCGACGAATAGCGAACTTCACTTTGTTATCACTTCACTCCTGGTTTTCACGCTCTGTGGCGAACTTAAACGGGGTGAATGGAGCGTGCGTTGCTTTGAGTGGTAGAAACCCTAACGTTTCCACAAGAGAGGCGCTGAGAAAGACATCTGTGTTTGGCATCAATTCCACTACCTAATTCCACAGACAAGCTACTAACAACTGAAACGGCAGCCTCATCGTGAATCATTCAGAATGTATCGTTTCGTGGATCGCCTTACCATTCCGCGCATTGATGTATTTGATGATGTGACGCTGAACCCTCTCCCACACAGGTCTGTATGTGAACCCATTTCCTCTGATATGCATCTGTTTTAAACTAGCATTCCGACGTCTCTCACTGACACAAATGATGATCGACGGAAGGGTGCGCTCTGACTCCTGGAGCCAAAGCGAATGTACTTACAGATCCAACTGAAGTCAGTGAGAAAGCTGACTCATTGGTGTTTCCTTGTGTTGGCTGGTGCCGCGGGAGCGCTGGAGATGTCACTTCAAAGGCAAGATGGGCTATACACGTGACTACCTGCATGAATGGCCGTCACTTGGGCCGTTATCCTAGCAGTCCATAGCCTCACTTCCAATCTTCTCCTCCTCCAAAAAAAAGCATTTAGTTAAACTCGAAACCTTCTACTATCGGACGAGAAGTCTCGAGACGTTGTAAGTCCTAAATATGGATAAGTTAAATTGGAATTCGAAATAGACAACAGTGTGATTATGACTGTGGAAAGTTAGGGAGGGTAGACTTTTAACATTGATATCGCAAGTACACATGTTATGTGGCATGCAACACTTCTCCAAATTTTCTCTTTATGAACAAGAGACAATTGTGAAATCCCAACTTTTTTTGCTTTCAAGATGGGTTGACTTTCTGGTATTTGCAAGGACCCGCCCCTCCAGCCGTCAAAGGGACTGTACCGATTCAGAACTGCCAGTCCGTTCGTGTCAGGGGTAGCCACAGAGAGGGAGCAATTGACCTCCTATCTTTACCCCAATCAATCTCTCCTATCCTTCGTGTTGGCAAAATTTGTTCTCAACTGTAAGAGTCGTCGAGTTTTTCTCGAGGAGGAACTGTCATCGACCAAGAGGAGTGCTTCATTGTCAGAGAATAATAATAATAATAATAATGGTAATAAAAAATATGTTAGGATTATTCAACACTGATATGAACATGTTTTTTTTCGACACACCACCAAACGGTGTCGCTAAATGAGTAGCCGTTCAGTTTGGAGGTACCGTTCTTACGATTTGCGAAGTTATGTCAATCATGAGCCCCCAAGAACGCCTTGTGACATCATTATTCTGGAATGGAAGCAAATGACCTGATTCTACACAACAACTGGTCTTCTCGCTCTACACTACACTATTCGGTGGGATGGTTTCTACTTTATCATCCACTTCCATTTAGGTGTCAGTCCTTTAATCGGGGCTCAGAAGAAAGAGTAAAACGTTCGTGCATCCTCCCCACCCCCCCCATCGGTGTAGCTGAGTCGATAAGAAACTCAAAATACCTTCCTATTTTATATTCCTGTGGGATTACAATTGGGAGGAGAGAAGTGATGGTTAAAGGAGCTACATCGATAAAAGTCTATCGAGATAGAGGAACAGTGGAATCTGTTTCGTGTTCAGAACTAGCTTTTGAAGTGTTGCTTGGCGATGACTGTTCGTAGTGTTAAGGCGATTTTGGGTTCTGCAGAAGACACCTCCTCCACTTGGAACGGCATTAAAATCAACACTGTTGTTTCAGGGTCTAAGAAAGATGTATTAAGGGGATCACAGCACCCTTATTTGGGAGCCGCAGCTTCCCAATGGACAATTTAAATTACCTTTTTTCAGTTTTGTCCTATTTTCAACGCTTTGTGAAAAGAACTTCTCCCACATTAACAAGGCAAGGCGTAACACTGGAATGCACAAACATCCTCAAGCATACGATAGATACTGATGAAACTGGACCGATTTGGTTCTATGGCACCAAGGTGACATCGTGTCTCCCAAACGCCTAATGGTCTCGGACTCGTGAGCAAAAACAGTTCTCCATGAGCTGCCAGAGTGATTATGTCATGTGGATGCGAAGGTGATGACACCTTAAGTGAAAGTATTTCGCACTTTCCTTTCCTCAATTTATTAACTTCCTTTCTTGCTTACTTTCACTCACCCCTCCCAGCAAGAATGGCGCGATGACGAATAAAAAGATGCGGTAGTTTAACCTAACTAAATCGAAGGACTATTCTGCAAGAACTCAATTGATCGAATGTTGAAACAATTCATTAGGTGCAGTCGCATCGTCTGTAGCAGTGCCCTTCGAGACCCTCGAAGTAAGGAGGTTGGGGAATGCGAGAGTGGACAAAACAATGGGGAGTTTTGATACGCGAGAGGTTAGTTAACTGCGTACATCTTTCCAAATTGGCGATAATGTTACCATTTTACCTCCTGTTTGTGGCCTATTGTAGTCGCCAGGAGCTTGTGAAGGTGAAGTGTGTCGCGTAGGACTTACAACTACAATCCAAATCGTTGCCTGTAATAAGCGTGCCAACACTGAATATGTCATACTTCGATAAATTTTGGGCTTCCGACTTTGAAACCGACTATTGTGGATTCATTTTGGTCAGTTGCCTGTTTTAATGCCAATCAAAGTGGGTGGCTTCCATCAAAGTTGTGTGTAAAACTCCACCAAACTCAACTCCAATCCCTCTTTGTCTCTGTAGAATGGAAACAGGTTTGTGTCACCTGACATCTTAGCTCCAGAAATGAGGAATACACACCTGCTTACAAACCGCTAGAATGGAAATGTGGAGGAAACGGATTGACCAGAGCTGAAATTACATTCAATTATAATATTACTCGCTGTGCGGATAGATGTTACTGAAATAAAAGCTCCTCCAACATTTTAAAATAGCATCAAGTTTTCACCGCATACCACTCCCTGCTTACCCCAAATATTTTAAAGTAACACATATGACAGATAACATCCTCTCACTGCTGCATTCTCATTCTCTTCCACTTTGGCTCCCGCTGTCACTTACCAAATCCCCAAATGTCATGCAGCATCACTCCCTCCTCCCAAGACTCCCAGCTAATACAGACATTGCGCTACTTCGATCTACTCCTATTAAGGCGACCCGCCAGCTACGTCAGAACCTTTAACTCTCCCGCAGATATCAGTACAGACGCCCAACTTTCGTCCTGTCTCTTATGCGACAGTCGAATAGGCCAATCGAGTAACCAGTCACCTGTAATAAGCTGAGTATAATAACTAGACTCGACGCGATTAAATGACACCAGTCCGAAAAAGTTACAAAAAGAACTCCTTCTGCATCAAAATCCAGTTTATAGAGAACATCAGAAAATATACAATAACTAGGTTGCTTATGCAATTTAAGTAGCAAGATACTACACTCACTGTAAAGGAACAAGACGTGCCTCAAAATACAACTAATTTTTGGAAGAAACAATGAGTGAATCAGAACGAGATACTATAAGTGAAGTTATTTGTACAGGGATTCACAACTTCTGCATAGAGATAGTAACCTCCACGCCAGTTAAACCAGAAACAGATACGGAGAAACAACTCTGATCTTCAAAATACGCGACCACCTAGGGAAAACAAAATAATGTGGAAAGCGAGCTGCTCAGGTGGTGAAATGAGTGATTTGAATAAAGATAAGTCACCTCATCGTTAACAGCAACATCGAAGTTAGGAGACTTCCTTAAAACAACCAAAATATTTTGGGAAGTGATGGCCAACTTGAGATATGAGGTTAGACGAACGCGAAGCTCCGCTTCAGTTTGTTGGTACAGGTAGATAGCTTGAAAGACTGAAAAGTGTAGAAAAATTGCATTGGCAACCTGATGGATGGCTTTTGCAACAAGGTGTTACAAAAATTGTGACAGAAGAAATTCACCAAAGAAACACGAGGTCAATTCCTTAGCATAAGTTAGTAAGCGCGGAGACATCCAGTTTTCTCCATCCAATACAAAACACGATAGTTTACTCACCTACTTCAGAGTCTTTCCTAACAAAAATGGTGCAAGTAGCTCGAGGCGGTCTGAAAAAGAGAATAGCGATTAGTGAAAGTGGAGAATTGAATGAGAGAGGAAACTGATTCACTCGCTTTTGTAATATCGCATTTGAGAGGCGAATTCCTTCCACAGTGCCACACAATAGAACGAGATCACGGCGATTCAATCGAAGCATATCAGCACCTGGAGCACGAAAGAACAAAAAGACCATTGCTTCAAAGACAAATGCAGAAAATGGCCTGTGTAAGATATTAAATTGGTTGTTTGTTCGCTGATTCGACAGCCAGAAAACTTCATCTCAAGAAATCGAGACTTTTCTTTGACAAACGTAGAGGGGATAAATTATTCCGAATACATTAGCATATGAAGCCTGCGAGCGCTTAATATCCAACATTACGGCAAACGTACACATGCACCAAATTAAAAAGTGGACTATTTGAGGAGCGAACTGGAATAAATGCATATGAATACAAGAAATTTGTGATGCGAGATGCATCACACAAAGTCACCAGCCCATCAAACGTTAGCTGTGAGATCGAAACCGCACATTGGAGCTTTTCAAATTATTGCCCATGTACCTAAACATTATAAACAGTTTTGGTCAGACTAATCATACGACCGGAGTCATTAGCAGTTTGAAGACGCCTCTACTGCTGTTTAGCCGTAGCCTAAAAAGAAGACTAACTCTCAGTTCAAAACGCACGTCCAAGCTTTGACAAATAACAGAAAGAAGCCCAGAACAAAATTATGGAATTTGTATCCTGGTATTGCAAATTAAGTAGCGCTTAACCTGATCGTGCTTTTACTCCGGACCTCTCAAAGTACGTTGGCCCTATGAGATGTGAATCTCACCGGTAAATTTGGCGAATTTGGATCTGAGACTACCAAAGCCACAAGAGCGGAGCCAGTTAGAGACAGCAGCACGCGACATGTCAGCTCGAAAGGAGGCGCGTACACGACGAGTGGAGGCTACAGCAGAGGCACGCTGTGTGCGCAGAACCATCGACGGCGTAGCAGAGACGTCAGCAGTAGTAACAATAGTGGAAGGAGCAGTGAACGAGGATTTGGAAGGTGGAGTTGGTGGTGAGCGCGAGTTAGCAGTGCCTCCTTCGCTCTCATCGTCACCATCTTCTCCCACATCCTCCTCCCCTGCCACCACTACCACCGCCTCATCCTCCTCCTCTTCGTCCTCCTCGGCCTCCGCCTCGCTCTTAGTCTGTGAGGGTGGCTTTGAGGATTTGTCCGAGGGGATCGGTTGACTGGCCTCACTGGAGGTAGAGGGTCTGCGCTGACCCACAGCTGTCTCATTGTCATCGTCTAGGGTATGACAGGAGTAGTCCGAGGTTGTAAAGGGCGCACAGGGAATCACCGTTTGCCCTTGTCCTGCCTGCGTGGCGCATGAAAATCTCTGCTGTAAAAAAATCCAAATTCAAAAGTAGCAGACCAGCATTGAATTCAAAACTGCATGCCTTATTTACCATATGTGAATTGCGTGAACCAGATATTTAGATTGTGGTTTAAGGTCAGATACGAAGTTTCGGAAGGTTACAAGCAATAAGAGCCAATAACCCACTTTCACCTCTATGATGATGGCACGGACCTCTAATCATGTAAGTTATTAGCTGAACAGTTTTCATACGCGTTTAAATGATTTGAACGCAGCAAGAGGAACTCAAAACCTGGCAGAAAGATTCACAGTTCGGAATCGTCAATTATTCTTGCAAATAAAACAGCAGAATAAAAAAGGAAAGGACGACGAACCATGTGTCTCAAACCCATCATGGATTGGCGTTTCCTGCGCAGTCTCTTGACACTCCACTCAAGCGAGACTTCTGGATTGAGACCCGTAGAAATGATGGAGGCAGAGCAAGCTCTTCCACAGCAAGAACAGGTGCCAGGACACGGCACTTCATCACCAGGCGTCGTGCTTCTCTTCTGAGAGGGAACTGAGGAAGAAGGGGATTGAATTGGTGGATGCTTGAAAACGTTTCTCGAAGAAGCTGTGCCGATGGTGGTGGTGGAAGGTGTTGAAAAGGCGAAGATCGGTTGAAAAGCCGATGTACACACGTGGTGTTCACTGATTTCACATTGAGAAAGGGGTAACGCGTCCACATTGACCTCCGAGACCGCTATTGGACTGTTCCTATCGCACCAACACACAGTCCCTCAGGAGGGAAGCGGTATTACAAATCCATGTAGGCACTCAAATTACTACATAATGTCAATATTTTTTTTTAAATTCCGGACACACCTCGTAATATACCCAGCAGATCTATCATTTATGAAATTCAACATTTTAAGCAACGGTAAGCACTATAAATACCGCATGCTACGCAAAAACACTTAAAATTGTGACAGAGATTCGGTAAAATCTTTCAAAGCTAGGAGCTAACCTAAAGCAGTCCCCACTACCTTCTTGACCAAAATGCCGCCCATTTTTAACCGGCGGAGGGGGGAAGGGGACAGGAGCTGTTGCCTGTCGAGTGGCCTTTCGGCCGATCAGATTGAACTCGAGCGGACCAACGTCAAGTCCCTCATTATCTTGAGCAGAGGACTTTGACTGTATGAGAGAAGGGCATAGGGGACTAGTGGTGGTCGCGTCCACCGCCGCTACTCCCCGATCTGATGCCAATACTGTTGGGGGTGGAAGCAGTGGTTGTTGGTGCTGGTTGCCCGAGGAAAGAAAGTCTTCGAGAGCAGCCAGCACTGAATGCTCAGGGGTGGCGGAAGGGGCTGGATCGTTGAGAGCGAGACGGCTTATAGGACAGTAAGCCACCTCTTCCAAGAAGGTGGTTGGTGCCGCAGAACGATATTGTTGCTGCAAAAATAGTGGAAAGTGATTTCAGTCAATTCCACACCAATCTCAATGCCGAAAGTCTTTATCTGAGTCCATCGTAGTGAAAGCATTCGAAGTCAATCGTATGCTTCGGTGTACATTTTGGAGGATTATGTTGCATACTAACACAAACCAGTCATATGTACTAATAAACAGCCATGTTGAACATATAATTGCAAAAGCCGAACAACAGAGGAAACAATCAATGAATTTCATGATATCAGGGACGTTAATTCCATGAACCATAGACGTGTGAAACGCATTTACAGGCTTACTCGTTCAATTTTGGTTCGCTTATCGATCTTTTCCCGATCTGTCCGGTTCTTCCGATCCGCACCCTTTGGTTTGAAGACCTTCACCTGACAAGCTGCCGAGTAGATGTGCGAATTGTCGCACTCACGAAAGGAGTCCACCTATCGGTCAAGTAAACAGAGCTGTGCACGCACAAACGCTATTTAAAAGAATATTTTACTGGATCAATGACAAACAATTTAACGACCTATGAACCTGGTGATAAATAGCATTAAAAATTTCCTCAAGTCAAGCAATTACTAGGTATCACAAACTTTGGAATTAACTAATGGAGCTATTAAATTCACCTATCCTAACAGACCTCAAAATAGGCTAGTGTCCATTACACCTTGTGGTGCTAGTTTACGCAGGGCCTTTCGCTCTTAGAATCATTCACAAGCTTAAAAGTATCTTTCAGAAGAACAATTTTCGGCTATAAAATATAATTACTCTAACCAACTTCTAGCCTTTATTTACAGAGTAATCCAAAAATACAAGACAAAACACGCGCAATAATTGAAACCAGAAAGTCAGTTGGTAGACTACTGGACTAATAATAATAAAAGATTAACACCTTAAAATAAAGCCGTTTGGAATTTGAATAGTTGAAGGTCTTTGTTGATAGAAGCTCACCTGGATGCGAAAAGGCACACCTTTTTCACCACCATGCTTCTTAGCGGTGAACTCTGTGCTTACACAGTGAGCCCTGAGAGAGAGACTACAGGGAGCAGAAGAGTGCCAGATACAAATCACAGCGTTAAGATTATCTGGATCAGCATACACCTCCCGAACATTGAAACAACCATCCACATCTATCAGATAAGGCAGATGTGAGTATATTTTGAAAAAAAATCGTCGATAGCATTTTTTTCATACCGAGATCAAGCATTCGCTCGCCCTGATGATGGGTCTGCCAAAAGGCAAGGTGCTTAGCTTCGTTGACTTGGAGACGCTCTTGGTAGAAGCAGATCCTGACGACGCTCTGTAGCAATGAAAGAATGGAACAATATTGTAATAAGAAGGAACTTTGAGGGTCTTCTTGACTCACCTTGATGAGGCATGAATTCTCGCCATAAGCATCGCTGATTTCAATTGTATAGGGTTGATCCTGGTTCAGATAAGTGAGTGGGTCTTCGGACAACAAGGTGGCTGGGGATGTTGGAGCCTTCAGTTCGATTGTCAGGCTGCAAGAAACGTGGCAGAGCCAAGTATGCCAGTGTCATTAAACAGCGATAGAACAATCCCGAAAAATTCACAGGTAAATAACAACACCTGCGATATGCCTATATTAATAACGAAAGGGTTAAAAATTTCCTCAACAGAAATGCAAAACTGTAAGTGATCCTAAATGGTTCAATACCAGTTTTAAAAATTATAAAAAACCGAAAATAAACGAACGGTGTTGCGTAGGCATAGGATATGGCTTTCGATTTGCGCTTGCACGATTGAGCATCGTTCTCGGACCCCAAAAGTTGAAGTTCAGAAGGAAGAGCCGACAGAGCGTCACTGAAATAAAGGTTGGATTCATTGTATAGATCGTAATGTCGAGGATGAACACTGGAACAGTCTCTCAGAGGCTTAAGGCACAAGCAGAGTTGTAAATTTTTTCAACCTCACAAAGAAATCGGTTGACATAAGGAAACAGTTGCCATAAACTATGCAAACTATTAATATTAGGCACATATGCTTGTGAATGGATGTACATGAATAGTGAGACAGACAGTCCCTAGTGAGATTACCTCATATTAAACATCGTATCTGAAATATCAGAATTCAGTGACAGCAGCGTTGAATCTATCTCTGACGACGGCTCTCTGATAACAAAATTAAAAGCAGACTCAGAGTCCATCGCCAGTGCATTGGCGGGCTAGCAGCACTGCCTCCACAGTTTTAACCTTATTATCTCCACATGGTTATTTCAAACATATGTCATTTCGTAGCTCCCATCTTGTTAAAGTATTTCTCAATTAACATGCTTTTATTGTTATAAACATTTTCACACAAATTTAACTGGGACTGAGAGCATAGTGGAGTGTCTGAGCCTACTCTTAAATCTAGTTGATCGTTAATAATGTCGGTTAATCATGCCACTTAATCCTTATCTAATTTTATCGTCTTTAATACAATAGTGTTCTATAAGGTGCTCACTGTAATCAAAATTCAACTGCGAATAGCTTTAGGGGTATTTGCATTCTTGGTAAAGTAGCTGCACTAACTTTTTTGAGGTTTTAATGCAGATAAAATCCTCCAGATCTCCGTAAATGATTGCAACTGACCAATTTTTCGCAGCATATGAGTTTTTGCTACATATTGGTCATGACTTTCCGAGATACCCTGTCGACAAAAGAAGACATACCACTTGAGCAAAGCGTATCCCACTGCCATTTTCTCTCGCCTCTTTCTAAGATTACCATAGAAACGAAATCAGTGGAAGGACTTCTACCAGCTTCGGAAGTGTCGTTGCTTCGCCAGACACGAGATTTTGATTATCGTATAGCCTCTCGGCAAAAAGTGCATATAAAGCAGCGTAAATATCACTAATATGTATTGTAGTAAGGTTGCCGTTCTACAAAGGAAAAATTAAGCAACCACTTCGGCAAAGTCTGAAGTCAATGTTTGCCAAACAACAGACCTATCACATGTTTGAAGGTCAACTTTATGGTCACCTTCGTCCTAGTTATGGGCAAACGGCTCAAAAGCCAATTATGCTTATAGAATACTAAACATGGTGGAGTGTAACTGTTCCATCGCAAAACCTGCTGTCAGTGCTCACCGAAACGCCTATTTATTACCTTCCTGCATAATAGTGATGCATGACTCTCCACAAGTCCCTAAATGCGGAACCGTGGAGTGCATACCACTGGTGACAGCCGTAGAGTGCTGAATCGTCAACCGATTTTATTTAAGCATAGTTCGTCCCATTCGTTAGGATGTGAAGAGCTTTATTGCATCAACAGAGCAATCAAATTAAGCGGTTTTGTAAACCCATTTACCATACTCGAAAATGAATAAATTTAACAACGCATGTGGGAAGCCTTTCCATAAAAATGTTAAATATGAGGTCACTCAAGCAGCTCAGAGTAGGAACACACTTGCTCATTTGCCTCATTTCATGCAACATTAAGTGGTGCGTTAAAAGTAACAGTGGATATGATTTGCGGAATTTTTTGGTACTTAGGCTCGGGGTTCGGCAAGTCCGACTAATTTCAAGCCTTGTAACCATCAGATAGGAGCAGCACACTTTTCCCTCCAAATGCAGCTACGCATACATATCCAATGTCTTCAAATCATGGTTCTGCAGACTTTCATGTTCTAAGTTGATCTGCATGAAAATAAACTGAGTGGAGCGAAAGCTGCAGTGGACAAAGGAAGTAGTCAACTGCTCTAATCAGTAATTCCTATGCGACATTCTAACCCTAAGTTACGCTGTGGGAGAGTTAATTTGTGTCCTAGGCCAGTGGATTATGCAAATGAGGCTGATTGAGTATAAGTTTTGATAAACCTTTCTGTTGAATATCGAAACATTAGTCTTTGGTTCTCCTCTAAGATTTGTTGAGTGTAACGTAGTGAAAGAGAGGAGAGGAAATGGACCAAAAGTGATAGATTTGTTTATACGATCCTGTCTGATGGAATGAAAAGTTTGTACTTGCGAAATGCATCGAGCTCTCACTTATCTACTACTTAATAATTTTTAATAATCCTCTTAGTGAGATTACTATGACCTGTAAATGCAGATTTTCAGTTTGATCTTTTGACTTGGTATTGAGAATGCAATGCCAATGCCTGCAATGTATGCGAGTTGTTTAGAATTGGCCTTACTGGTGCGAGGCGAGATTTCGACTCAAAAGCCGTGTTTTGTGTAGCCCCATGCTAAAGGAGGGCGGACCTTTGCGCAGGCGGTCAAATGAAGCCGTGATCGTGATGTTGCGGCTACAATGTCTGCACTCCAAGCGAGAGCACCGTTTTGAAGATATTGGAAACATACGCAGACTGGGTAAGATCCATTTACAAACTCAAATGGCAACACCGTTCTACTGGATTAACTTGAAAACTCCAAAGGTACACTCTTACTTGTGCCAAATTTTAGCAAGAGTATCATGCCACAATGTAGAAACAAAGATGATGATCGAACTTATGGGCTAGCGTAACTAGATCCTACCCATATCCAGTCTCTTTCCACAACCCCAGTTTAGAAAAGTGAGGTGAAAAAATCGGAATCTGTGAAGCATTATTTTGTCGAACAAAGTGTACCGAGAGACGAGTACTAAAATAGAAACCGCCCTGATAGCCGCGAACGTTGCGTAGGGAACCATTGAGCCACAAAAAGTATGAACCACTTCAGATCAATTGACCTCTCCGTAACCTGCGCTGTCAGGTCCGGGTTCACGATGTCGAACGTTTGATTCGTCGACGCAGATAGTTGATGACTCTTAGTAGGGCTTAAGCGCAAGGAGTGTTGCACGCACTTCAGGATCTACTGGGAGGAGAGCAGAGGGAGCCCGGTACCCGATCCTCAGCTAATTAGGATTGTAAGTGGGCTAAGTTGTGCTTGTGTGTGTATGTGGGTGGATGGGTGGGTGAGCGTATGGTAGCATTTAACCTCACCTGGAGCACTGGGCATGAGGTTAACCTACCTTCGCATGTCCACCGTGTGCATATGTAAGCACGCACAGGAGCACGTACGCATGATGGTGGTTGAGCCACGCGCGCGCCAGAGCTAAACTCATTGTCGACGATCGATAGAGTGGTAGTGAGCTGATTGGCTGGCTCTCACGTGGTCGTGGCAACACGTACGGATGCGTGCTGGCCAAGTCTGGTGGGATGAGGCGAGAATGAGTGAGCGAGGGAAGGCGAAAGAGGGAGTGCATGCAGAAGCAAGTAAGACAGAGGCGGAGGGAGGCGGAGAGCAAACGAGAGAGAGCAAGAGCGAGAGCTGGGGAACGAGCAAGCTCTGTGTATGCGTGTGCGTGTGTCTTTTGCCATCGCCTACTCAGCTCTGGCGCGCATTCTTCCGGCTTTTTCGTGTGGTGACATTCCAATAAATTATTTTTCAATAAAGCGAACTTCGAGGAGGAAAGTGGGAGGGCAGAAACACAAGTTGATCAGTGAAAAAGTTTGGTGTCACGGATTATATGCCTTTACGAAAGTAATTCTCAACAGGATTATGCTCTTCACCTTTCAACTCCTCTTCCCATCTAGAACTTCTACTTGAGGTATGATGCCTTTAAAATAGCGTTCTCATGCATTATTCGACTTCGACCCTTAGGAATTGAAATTCTTATTAATTTCTGTAGTAGAAGATCATGTCCATGAATCGCAGGACATAAGTACTGTTTGTGTTGACATAAAAGTAGCTCCAACAATGGCATTTTCAAGATTCTATCAGCCATCAATGAAAATCCAAGGGAGTTAAAACAACCTATTGGCTCATTAGATACTTAAATTCTACACTGCTGCCACGGGTTGGTGGGAGCCCCCCCCATTCATTCATGGCGAAGACTAATGGGGCAGTAGCTTCAGATAAAAATCACATTGAAATAGCAGCCAAAATGCCATATCTCAAATCTCCCCCTAATTTAACAACAGCAGAAAAACATTTCAAATTACACTCATAACTTCACTTGATGCTAACTTATTACGAAGGGGTGATTACCTTAGAAGACAAATAGCAGTTTAATGCTTCAAAAGTGAATGGAGCCTAAATTTATTCCTGACGAGGTCATTTCACATGCTTTTGGGTGTTCCATGCCATTGGCATATTGTATACTATTAGCTTCGTTAATCGTAGCTACAGTCTGGGTCTTTCGACAAGTCTCCACTAACATCAGCATCACCGTCATCTGACTTCCAGTTAACTGATTTCTCAAGACTCCGTCTTCTCCAGGCTATTTTGTTTGGGATAGTAGTAGAAAGTGTAGGGCATAAGTATAGAAGGCGTATTTATTCCTATCGCAGGGTGAGGTCGGTCATCTTGTTTACAAATGCGCTCCCGTCTCCGATCCATAAGGTGCGTTTAAAAGACTCGTCTTCGTTAAAAACGCATTTCATCGAACCTGAGGTGATGTTTATTTTACGATCCTAAAACCCAAAATCTCTCTATAAAGACAGGCAGCACTTTTGTACTGACAACACGAATACAAAAATCAAAGATTTTCCTGAAGTCCCAGTAAATGCCATCCATGCGTAGGTGCAGTTGCAGGTGTACTTTACTGGTTAGTCGGCTAAGTGTGCTATTAATAATGGATGTACTAGAAATAATTCTTCCTCTTAATTAATTAACGCTCTTGAAAAAAGTCATAATCAAGTCTGCACAGCCAAAGCGGGTAAATTGTGCAAAGGAAGTGGTTGGCTTAGATTTTACCACATTTCGATGGTTTGGTGATTTGTAAATAATTAAAAGTGTTGCGTGAGTTTCACCTTCTAAATTAATAATTCTCGAAACTGTTTATACGGTCAACGTGTACTTCGACCTAAGCTTACCCGAGAAGAAACTTGAGTGAAATTGTCCATTGGTAAGGTCTTCACCTCCCAAGAAGACACATTTCACGCATCCTTATGCTCACAAGGTTTCAAAAGACGAGCATACACTAAACTTGTGAGTCGAGGTACCTTTGTCCAGGACAAATTAGGCTACGCCACGGATTATGAATAGTAACACGTAAAGGGAGGAGACGGCGGTGACCATGACGCTCTGGAAGTAGCGCTCAGGGACTTCCCAAGCGCGGCGCTTCCGCTTCTCACCTCTCAGACACGCTGCAAACAACTCGTATGCGTTGAAATCACCTCTTGCTTACCTACTCGAATGTGTTGTTCCTATGTGTTGACGTGGTATCCCACTCTACAATTTGACTGGCATTCAAATTCACGCCCAAGTCACGCATTTTCGCATCCTTTATAACTTCGTTTTAAGTAACATTGTTCAATTCGAAGCGCGATTTCTGCTCTGTAAGGCTGCTTTAATCCTCAAGCTCCTCGTCACTTGTTGAGCCGTTCACCCTTGAAGTGATGAAGTAGAAAGTGAATGAAGGTAACTAACAATTCACATGTCTTGTAAGAATGAATGTTTAATCTGGAAATAACAGTGAGTCAATTAGCGATGCTACTGAAAAGCAATTTTGAAGTTATGGTTAAACGGATAATAAAAAAAGTTGTTTGTTAGAGCTCAGATTTGGGAAAAATGAACTCGTTAGTGGAGGCAAAAATAGATGAACTTTTTCATGGTGAAAATTTTTACTCATATGGGGAGGTGAACGAGCCTCTCGCCTAATCCCGCCGAAATCTCTCTAACTGGGGAGAAATGTCTTCGCCGCAGTAACTCTTCGCCTTAATTTATCACAACTAGACTGACCAATAACTCCGGAGGTGTGAAATTGTCCCATATTTTTCAAAGTGCTGTTTGGAGGCGTAAAATCTCGGGGCTTGTCTTCCTGGAAAGAATGCGCTGCATCGGAGGAGGCAACCTTCCGTATTCTTAATGGAAAATCTCCTCAAGGTAGGTCACCTCTTTCGCTTTGAACGCATGTTATGCTGGTTGTCAAGACTGTGAATCAGTCTGGTGCTCTTAAATCCTTTGTGATGCACACAAGTGCATCCAGACAGGCGAAAATTCTTGATTTCTCTGAGTGAAGTTTCGTTGAACCCCTTGTTTTTACCAAGCGCCTTGATTGTCATCTCGTGTGGGACCACAGAGACGTTAGAGGAAGTCATATGAAGTCCACTTTATTATCTGGCTTAAAAGGCGGCGTCAGAAAGGCGCGTTTAAGAGGCACATCGTTGCTTTGCCCTCTCCACTTGACTGACCGCTGTGAAGGTTTTCTCTCTGTCGCTGTATGTTTTTAGGAGTTGCAAAAAACTTCTGAACGACGTCAACAGCTCACCTTTGAAAATTCCGAAATTAAAGCTCAAATAACAGACAAGATTGGACAACTCTCACGAAGCCTCGAATCCAGCTCCCCAACTGAGTCGCACTTCGAAGTCGAATTTCCCGAACACGCCGTAAGCGGTAACATTCTTGACTTCGGATAAAGTGCATTTTTAAGTGGCTTGTGATTACACTTTTACTTACAAATGACGCCTACAACTATGTCAATTACCAACAAAAGTTAATTCTGCGTTTACCTCATGGACAAGACTAAGGCATGCTTGTGGTGCACACGCCTTTGGGGCCACGTGCCTTACAATACGATGGGTTGAACTCAGTGGGGCGAGCAGGAAAGCTTGGCTGTTTTGGCAGCATAGTGGTCGGAATTTCAAATAGTTGGGCTCTCGAACGAGCGATTTAGCATGAAGACTCACCGAGTAAACGTACTTATTGCCACGTAAATTAAGTCAGGCAGTGAATTGATAGAGATTTTATAAAATATGCTAGGTGTCTTGTAGTACTTTATTGCTTTGATCACCTGTATGAATGACGTTCACTTTGGCAGCTGTTGACCAACGTCTTTCATGTCTTCCTCCAACGAATGGGAGGTCTCAGGCGGCTAAATGTCTCTTTTGAAAAGAAAATACTACAATAAATTAAGGTGATAAATTTTAGTTACAGGCGGGACATTTTGTGTTTGACTTACAGACTGACTCGACTCAGATGGAACACATTTGGGCATCCCCAACTAATGTCTTTTTAAAATTCAATTTCCTTCTTTCAGCCTGGAGTTGCTGAACTCAAAGAAGCCATCGAAAATCTCAAGGTGAGTGAGGAATTCGGACAAAGACACACCAGTCTGAGAGATAGCGACCGTTCCAACTTTGCTTTGTTTTCTACCCGCATTTTGAGAGGTTAAAGTTTTGTGGTCACTTTTTGACTTTTGACAAACACATAAAAAAAACTGGCATTTTCATAACTTCGATTGCATAAGAAAGGGGTGATTCGGTGATGTAAACTTATGGAAGGGATAGGGTCCTCCTTACAGTGAAATAATCGGTCACCTCAGTTGCCATTGGATGGATTGAACAACTCGTAGGTGGGTGATGACCCTGTCTCCTGTGCTATCCCCTGTCTCCAATGTGCTTTAACCTGTCTTGAGAGTAGTTTTTTTGTCCTCTTTAAGTGACTTTCACTTTTACTGTAAAAGGCGATGAAAAGTTCACAATCCCGTGACGAAATGTCAACGTTCACTGCCCAGTGAAAGCAGTGGGTAGTGCATAGGGGCGTTGATTTGGAAAGACCCTAATTTTAGCTTCAACAGAAGTGAGATAGTGCAATTTAATTTTTCATAAGTTTTGTTGCTTAAGATTTTCCCCTCCTACTTTGGGGCACAATTTTGTTCAAACAGTTTAAATGCTAGAAATGTGATACTACGATTCGAGACTAAGAGAGGAAGACGAGACCGGATCAGCCTGTGTGCCCGTTAGACTTGGGACTTGATAGTCACCACTAGTTCAGTTACTTTAGAGCAACAAGACAATTTAATGGACTAGTCAAAGTGAACGTGATCAAATAGATCGCCCTTAAGATCCGGCGGTATTCTACTGTAGTTTCTTGGCTAATTTTTTCTCTCCTTTCTCGTTCTGCATATTCACTGCTACTTTGTATTAATAAATCATTGTTAAGGTTGTCAAACAGCTGCACTAAGGCCATTCAAGTACGTATTTGCTTTTATTTATCACTGTTTGATTAATCTGTGAGTGGGAATGAATGAGGTAAAAGGGAACATTCTTACTATTTTGCCCCATCACAAGGTAGGTCCCAGGTAAAATACGATCTTCAGCCCCACCATCGTCCAAGCTATTCTCATGTGTTTCCTCAGGACGTAGTTTGCTTACAAACGCTTTATTTGGCATCGAAACAGAAAGCGGGCAGTAATGCGAGAGCAAAAGGAGGAATCGTGGAGTATAGCAACACCCGCGTAACATTAGTCGGACCCTTTTGATCCTGCCTCTGACCTACAAGGTTCTTTTAAGCAACCACTCTAGTGTATTCCATGATCATTTCAATGATGAAAGAGGGAGAATGTTAATGCTATTTACTTGAACCTTATGAGTTAAGAAGCAAAGTATCACTACAGAGGGAAGGTCTTGTTTCCACTCATAAGCACAACCAATCGAAATGGCCGTTTAGTGGTGAGGAGCACTTTAACCTGACCTGACCATTTACTTACTTAATAAAAGACTCGACTTCGTGAATCGGAGC